AGGCGGGGCAAAAGCAAAAGTGTTGGAACTGAAGTTTGCGAATGATTTGCTGAATAGCCCACAAATCCTAAGAGGAAGTTTGCGTGGCATCCCAGCGTGTGATAAATAAGCTGTATCCATTGATATTCACAAAATTTTATCCAAAACGGAGGCCAACCTATATATTCTAGAACGACTTTTGCGAGAAAAATCTCTCCGCTTGCCGCGCCTTACGCGAGTAAGATTTTAAGAGTTTCGTAAGTTTCATAAATTGGGTGAAGTGACGAGTAGTCCTTTGATAAGGGGTACTTTATGATTATTTCCTAGGTTTATTGCCAAGTTTAATGCAGAATAAGGGGTTCGGGTTTATTCAGCAAAACTAAACAGTTTCCATTGGAGCAACGATGTGCAGACACGGTGTTAGATTTTCGTAGAAGAGTTAACGCGTATTTTTTGGGGCTGTCATAGAGTAACTACCCCGTGTTGTGCACCAGAGGAGTTCTGTGAGTACCTCCCACTTCACATTTTTGCAGCTTCACTGCTGAATATTCTTCTTAGTTCGCTTACTATTCTCATTGAAAATGAGAACTGACAAGCGGGAAAAAACCATTGTATGGTCACCATTAGAGAATTCGCTACCGATGTTCTTCGGAACAGGGCTGGTGACACAGGAAAAAATCAGGTCCATGGTACCATCTCCATATGTCGGTAGTTAAACTTATTACTTCCACCCACAGACACCTGTGTTGGGGAGTGCTTTATCAAGGCTCTGTGGATAGCAACTGGCTTCCAAATTGGCTTCAGGGGTATTAAAGTACCCTCTAACCAATTTAAAGTCGACACTCAGGGATCCAGCATTGGTTAATGATCCAGCGATAAGTGCATCGGTTTTCCTTGTCAAACATGCGGCTCTACGTACGCAGCTCATTAGGATTTTGTAGTTGATACTGTGTACAGCAACCCGAAGTAAGTCCGATAGATCATTGGAAACATCATCTTCAATCTTCTCTGTTGTAGCAAGGCTACGTACACAGGTCAAACAATCTCCACCTCACTTACGTCACGAGTAGAGCGATAATAGGCATAGATATCTAAGTACCGGCCTGCATCTAAGATTGAGGTGGAACAAAATTGTTCGGTAACTTTCGGTATTGTGGGTTCCGTTTAATAACTTGCCATTCCTAAGTCAGGTACTTCCGTAAGTAGCAGGCGTGTGTTAATGAACGAAATCGCATAAAGGCTCCTGTGGTTTGAGAACTCGAAATATCTCGAAAGCCTAGTCGGTTCGGAGGATCTCCTGCGTCTGATACAGTAGACGACTTACCACTTATGTCACGGACATGTTGAGACTCAGCAGCGGGGTATGACGATACGGCTGGTGAGTTTCTGTCACCCAGGTGTAATAATAATACGTTACTGAATTTAAGGGCGCATATCATTTTTACAGATACGCTTATAACAATTAGCGGTGGAAAATCTCCGGTAATAATTTTGTACCCGTCAAAAGCCCCACAGAAGCTTTCAGGAGCCTGAAACTACCACGTAGAATGGGAAGGGATAAACTAAATAAGACGGTCATGAAAAATAGTGACGAATTCGTGTCACTCTGACAAACTTGTCGAGGGTGTGTTGACTTGATATTCACCCTCTGCCACTTTCTGGAACACATGCACACTCATCAACGCCACACATTGGCTGTGATTCGCAACCTGAAGGCGATGTCTGACTTCGTCGATGGAGAGGTCATATGCCAGTGTCTCATTGAAAAAGGGTGCCAAATAAGCTCATAACCTCACTGAAAGTTCTGTACTCCAATACTCGAAGGTGTTTTAAAGTCTATGGTAGGCTATCAGGTGGGCTGTGTACGTTGAGTGATTTCTGTCAAGGACATCCACTCTCCGCGAACGATGAGAAGGGGAAGCAACTCAAATGTAGACTGGCACAAAGTTTACGTAATGACTGATAACTGGTGAGCTGTGAAAGCTAAGGAGATGAAAAAGGGTGCGATGATACTTAACAGTAGACAGTTATCTAGACTCATTAGGGAAACAAGACAAATCTAGCTACAGCACACCTGTACTCAAGTAGCAAATTGTAAACATTCAACGGTTTAACAGTCACTTAGTCAGTCGATCAAGATCAGTAAGATTTATTAGTCCAACCTGGAGGTCTGTCGAAGATTATATACAATTTTATGTATATATTGGTCTACACAACAGGCTAAATAAAAGCAGGAGTTTCGATTTACACTTACACATATCGAAGAGGAAATTTAGCGCCAGGTAACGATGGCTACCCGTTTTCTCGAAGGCCTCGTGATTCATTGGCATGCAATTGTGTTACTGGTGGCACAACTTACGTTTTATGACCGGCGTAAGACGAGAATAGTTCCAGGCCTATCTTACCAGAGTGGGTTCGGAAGAAGTGAGATGAATGGAACATACTATGCGAGATTCTATCATCATCTCATCAAGGAAGATGGAAATTGGGGCTAACCAAGTAAGTATAGTTTTTCAAACCCTATTCCTCTTATAAACCAACGAAACTGGCAGGGTCTTACCTAAAATTAAGCTCTTTCCGCACCACAAGTACGAGAAGGTCGACCGCGTTGTGGTGACTCAACGACTGTCTAAAGCTGGGGAAAAGATGCAGCCAAGACCAGATAACTTAAAACAGTGGTGTGGTGAGTGGATGGTAAGCTTTGAAGCACTTAAAACCAGGTGAGCAACTATGTGCAAGAGCAACAACAGCATAAGCACAATTGGGAACAGTGCCTCAGAAGTCACTGGAAACAGTCGAAAGCCGTAATCTTGAAACCCAACTGATTTAAAATCCATAGAGCATGCGCATTTTCATTAACCTATTTGCCTAATGATAGTCTCGTTTTTTCATAAGTTTAGGGATTATCTAACAAATTTGCCAATTCGCAGGAAACGTTTCGGTGTTTGAAATAAATAAAACGTAAATTGGACGTCTTTGGCTTATTGTGGTCCATTTATTCGAACAGGCTACGTTATGTGGTGATTAGTTTTTCATTTCAGTCCAATCGTGAAGTTAATCAGAAGTGCACCCAACTGACCATTTCATTCCTAGATGAGACTGACTTCTTTAGTGAATAAGATGACGATAAAACTTGAGTAGCGAATGTCATGAAAAAGTACTTTTTGGCTACAAATAGGTTGACCTATTATTTCATAACAAAATGTGATTACGAAGGGACAGATCGGTTCCTGGTATCACGAAACTCGTATGAACTTCCGGTAACAAACAGCAGATTACTACATTTCAGAAAAAAGATGTTGTTGTACTTTTCATCCACGATAATAAGTTATGATCTGGCAACACCTGTTGGCCATATTCTTACCCAATGATTAGATGTGTGAATTCCCGCGGGGGTTTGAGCTATTGCAAGAGGTATAGAGTCTTGATTTGATAATGTCTCCTTCGCATTTGCTTTGCTTGCTACTTCTACGTACTTCTCTCGGTTTAGTTCTCTGTAGATGAAAATTATTGCTCATCAGCAGTCACGGAATTGGCGGAAATCTTTATCTCCTCGTTATTCACAAGCTTCTGTCTGGCCTAAGCCGCTTAAAGTTCTCAATACAGCTCTACTCACAACATAAATAAACTTTAAATAAATTGTCAAATTTCCTGTTCACTTCATATGTTGAGGTCGTTTACTTTATTTCACTTCGAAATGTCAGAATAAAGTCTGTTGTTTTACCTCACCATAATTATGCACCGATAACGATAGTATTTAACTACAAATGCAGGGATGTGTGCAGAGTGCTCGTCACTGGGATGCTACACATCAAAGACATTCTAACCTGCAAGTTCGATTTCATCTCATGGGGAGAAAACTTAAACATTTTAGCTGCGGCAAACATGGGCAAATTGTGGACGCTTCATCTACATCACCTTCCTTCTCACATTTTATGTGGACACTACTGAAATACTTTCTAAAATCCCATCGTGACTACCTCCCTGGATCTATACTTTCAAAAATCTGAGGTCTGTAACGAGGTCACTTACTTTAAGGATCGCATGTATGAATGCACATACACTTTCTTAATTAACACTCAGTGAAAGCAATCAGCCTTGCACTTAGGGGATGCAATTATCTGTAAATTGCTCTTGGCGTGATGTCAAATAAATCATGACTGTGTCACGTGGTACCCATTTTCAACCATACTACGGTAGATACCACCGTAATAGAGGTGGAAAATGCGGAGTAACGCTGCCTGTTTGTGGCAGCAAATCGAAAAGCCAATGTAAATTCTCGAAACTAATATGATAAAGAGTTGGTTTATTGGCACATGTCAGGGGTAATGCTGGGATAAGTTGAATTCACTTTTATTGTTCGAATGAAAGTCTTGCGCTCCTGGATCGTTGCGGCAATGAAGGGAAATCCAAAAGCGATCATTTAAAAGCCAGATTTTCATTTAATTCCGGATCTCTGATAAGTGAAAGACAAAACGCCCCTGGAAATCTGCTCAGCTTTCACATTCTTGCTTGTCCATGAACTGCCTGTCATCCTTGGTTTCTTCAGGACCCCATTCTTTTTAAAAGAATTATTTTAACGATTTGATGTTAAAGAGCGATATTCTGCATGAAAACCCGATGAACGAAAATATAGGAGGACCTATTCGTATGACCACTGTACTGAGATGAAAATCGAGACTGTATGCTAAGGATACTATTATAGTAAGGTGCGTGACACGGGACCTTGTGGTTCTAGGACCGAGGCTTGGTATATTCGTGTGCACGCACTGCTGCAAATTCCAATAACAGGTCGAAACACTTGTCACTTCTCCTGGGTTTCCAATGGTTATGAGTTTGCCACAAGCTTACATGCTTGAGATCCTTCAACAAGTGGCCAATAAACATCAAGGAAATGTTCTGTCACATGAAATCTTGATAGTTTCATGACATGATAGATATTGCGTGAACTGATGAACGCTACAATCGGCGACTAATATATTGTGATATAGCTTGGTTTTGTTTAAGCTAACAATATCGCTCCAGGTGAAAGTCTGGGTACTTCAAGTTTGTTTGGAAATGTTGTTTTGTGAACGCTCAGCGGATTGTCTATTATCTCTTGCTAATAGGGTTGCATTATGTGGTGGGGGCCGTTGTATTAACTGTATAACTGATATGAACATTGGATTTTTCGAACAGCTTTTAGAGAATATCAGTGATTTTAAAGCTGACAGTAAAGTACCTTAAATGCTAATTTGCCCTCAATAATATAGCCACGCTGGAAGATGAAAATCGATGGAGGAAATTGTTGGAGTCATTGTCTGTTTTAATAGGAGTTTCGCTTGGTTACATATCTGTCACACATTTGTGCCAATTTGAACCGTATAGTCTTTTCAGTCTTCTGGAAATCATTGATTTCCTAGCTGAAAACTCATTGTTGGCTCGCTCAAAATTTCCTGTTCGATATGTGTAAGTGTAAATCGAAACTCCTGCTTTTATTTAGCCTGTTGTGTAGACCAATATATACATAAAATTATATATAATCTTCGACAGACCTCCAGGTTGGACTAATAAATCTTACTGATCTTGATCGACTGACTAAGTGACTGTTAAACCGTTGAATGTTTACAATTTGCTACTTGAGTACATGTGTGCTATAGTGAGTAAGGTTTTATCTTGTCGCTTTGATCTCCAAGTCTGCAGGATACCCTACATATTTCATTACTTGGTTTTGAATAAACTAGGATTAGAGGACTAGTAACTTATGAGATTTACCAACAAGTTTTCCATAATGGCCCCAAATCGGGACTCACTGTACGCATAACTTCCCTTCTGAACGTTGGTCTGGGGTTTTCAGGAAATATACATCTTTACATTTAGTGTCCACGTGACAACTGAAATCAGTGATAGTAGGCTGTGGGTGATATGGCCCAAAATCGAATGGAGTGGTACATATGCATCCATACACTATCTTCATCTTGATCAGGATACAGAATTTCATCAATATTTTACTCCACCGTGTTCCCTTTTTACGACTTTCCATTATTTTGACACCCTCATTTTTTAAAATTTTTCTTCTTGATGCGTTATCACTTGGTGTGCAGATATTGCATATCGACTGTTACCGTAAGTTAGTAATGCAGTCGATGGTGTGACGTATTGTTCTAGTGACGATGGCCAAATAGTTGGGCATGGGTTCGAAACCTACTCCGCCTATCGAGGTTTGGTCGTCTAGGCAGTATCAATAGACCTCACACCATAGGTTTGGCTAGTCGCGTACTTCATGAACGTGTACGTAGTTGCCAAGTTCATTTCGATTTTTTGAATGCTGATTGACTAATCACGAAATTGACTAATATTCACTAGCTAATGAACCCATACATTCTTTTGTGTAGCCTACTTAAGTCTCAACAACACAGTATCGTTAGAAATATCTAATTATTTTGCTGAAATTAGTATTCCTGAATGTTGTGGATTTTAACTGAATAAATACGTGTGATATTGATGTAAAAATCCGTCGCTTACATATTTTCTTGGGATCTCGTCCTCGTAAAATTTCCTCTGGGGTAGAGATGAAGCGTTTACATTTACTTGACTTTTTGCAGTCTTTCTGGAAGCTTATACCTTCCTGCTCATTTTTTCGACCAAAATTCACATGCGTCACTTTATTCAAAATATTCACTGCTTTTAGTTAATTTAATTTTCATGAGGAAGTAAAACTAACCTTGTGATAAATGAAGCGTTTCACTAAGTAATATTCTCCTTCTTCAGAACCTCAGATAATATGAAGAGAGATGAATTACTGGAAAGGGTTTCGCACAAACCTGAAAAAATCCACAACGTATACTCTGAAGATGCTTCCACACCAATTTGTTTTCATAATTCTGAACCGAGCAATGTAAATCAAAAGGAAGAAAATTTAAAAAATGGCTCAGAAAATACAGTTGGGAAACTAAATATTGATACTCCTAGATTGGTTTACTTACGGAAAAGGTTGAAAAAGTGTGTATCATGTATCCCGTTCGAGGAAAATGCCATGGAAAGCGACGAGTCGTGTTCGAATCCATTGTCACAACCTGACTTGCTCATCATAGGACGGGTAATTTCTCTACTGATGTTCCTATGGTTTTTGTTTTTGATTTCCACTTTTGTGCATTAGGTTTTCTCAAAAGCTAAAAGTGTCTCAGCTAGTTTTACTAAATGTTGATTGTGTCATCTTGTTGATAATCTCACAAACGATCTCTGTTAGTAACCAGTAGGGTAAAACAAAAGCTTACTGTTACGTGATATATATATATATATATATATATATATATATATATATATATATATATATATATATATATGAGTAATTTTGATCTGAGAGATATTGCTTCTACGTTCATCTTTCCTTTATTGTTCTATAGATCTTAAGTATGACGGATGTGTGCTACGTAATAGATTTCTTGCATTCAAGCAGTATTTTTATTTACATCCTCATTTGGGAACAGTCTTTGTAGATAAACTGAAGTAATCTATAGAAGTTTTGGAGATGAACGTCAGAATTGAGACAGTTATTTTATTGTCCATGAAAGTAATTGCTTGACGTTAAGATAAGCCAGAGACTGCAGTTTCTTCTGGTTTAATCCTCATCTACTTATTTTCACCGAGCAAAAGATATATATCTCATTTTCAGTCAAACATAACCTGTCCTCCTCAACTTTGTCTCCTTTGCCTTCATCTCCTAAAACCAATATTAAGGCTCCTAAACTTCTCTGAACCTTCAATTCTGCGGCCCTTGTCAGCAATCAAAGCCGTCAAAACCTCATTCTTAGTCTGCTAGGAACCCTTCCATCGATTCCATGTAGCAGCTATGAGGCTGAACGACAGTGAGAACTGAAAGGAATAGTGAGACTCGCCGTTGTCTCTTTGTAATCTCTGCTTACGCACCCACTGACTGCAGCTCGGATGAAGTGAAGGACGAGTTCTACCATAAACTGTCTAACCTCCTCTCGAAAGCCAAACGTTCGGACGTAGTGGTTGTTGCAGGTGACCTCAACGCACAGGTGGGTAGACTGAGTGAGGCAGAAAGGCACTTAGGTGGCACTTTCGGAATCCCAGCTGAACGTACAGATAACGGTGATCGCCTATTACAACTATGCTCAGATAACCGCCTATTTTTAGCCAGCACAAATTTCAGACATAAAGAAAGGCACTGTCTGACCTGGCGTCCACCGAGCTCGACTCAGCGATGGACACAGATAGACCACATTGCTATTAGTCATCGCTGGAGAGGATCGGTGGAAGACTGCCGCTCCTTCTGGAGTACGTGTTTGTTCCGAGCACGTATATGCCTGCGTCTCAATGGACGTAGAAAAAATTTGGCAACAAAACCACTACGAGTTCTGCTGGACAACGAAAACACCAAAGCCGTGTTCAGTGAGAAGTTGGCTAGGCAGTTATCGGAACAAAAGACTGTCACTCATCCAGAAGAAGCTTGGTGCCATCTTCAGTCTACTGTAAAAGCAGCACTGGAGACTGTAGCCGACTCCAAGATAATGGCTAAAAAGAGCCAGTGGATATCAGCAGCTTCTTCCAAACTAATGGATGCACGTGAATGCATCCCTGCAGGCTCTGAGTACAATGAAGAGCGAGCGCAACTTAAAAATAAACTGACGAAAAGTCTGCGCAACGATCGTGAACAGTGGTGGGCAGCAAAGGCTAAAGAGATGGAAAAGGCAGCGGCGATCGGTAACAGTAGACAGTTATTTAGACTTATTAAGGAGACTGGGGGGAAATGGTCAACAACAGTTAGTGAGGTTATAGCGGAGAAGGACGGATCGGCGATTCACTCGCAGGGAAGGCGACTGGGACGATGGGCAGAACACTTTGAGGAACAGTTTAACTGGCCTCCAGCCACCATTGCGCTGCCCGCTATCCAGTCGGACCCTGAATGGGACATAGAGACAGGTCCCCCAACACTAGAAGAAGTTGAGAAAGCGGTAGGTAGCCTGAAACGGGGAAGGGCAGCAGGACCAGACGGACTACCTGCTGAGGTATACAAGAATGGTGGTAGAGTTCTCTTAGTCAGGCTAACGGAAGTGTTAGCCAGTATATGGGAATCAAATACGATCCCCTCCGACTGGTCTAAGTCACTCATCATCCCAGTCTTCAAGAAAGGCGAGAAGTCCTCTTGTGATAACCACAGAGGAATCAGCCTGACAAACATAGTGTCTAAGATCCTAAGTTCTATAATTCTCCGACGCCTGAGTGGAGCTCGGGAACAGCAAGCCCGAGAAAACCAGGCAGGCTTTAGACCTGGCCGTGGATGTATCGACCAAATATTCACACTGCGCCAGGTCCTGGAACATAGGCATGCTTACAGACGCCCGACAATAGCTGTATTTCTCGACCTGAAGGCGGCATTTGACTCCGTTGATCGAGAAGTCTTATGGCAGTGTCTGTCACTGAAAGGCGTGCCTAGTAAGTACATCACCTTATTGAAAGCTCTCTACTCGAACACTTGTGGGCATGTTAGAGCCTATGGTGAGTTGTCCAGGGAGCTATACTCATCAAGTGGTGTCCGTCAAGGATGCCCACTATCCCCATTCTTATTTAATTTTATCATAGATATTCTTATGGAGGTTTCCCTCTCGTCACCTAATTACAAAGACGTTGACCGGATCACAGGTGAATTTTCCTTAGATCTAGAATATGCAGATGACATAGTCCTGTTAGGTGAAGACGCTGACAAGATGCAGAGTCTTCTGAACACTTTGAGTGGGAATTTGAGAATGTTTGGGATGCGATTTTCACCACCCAAATGCAAATTTTTGCTCCAGGACTGGTCTTCAGCGGTACCGCGGTTAACAATAGAGAGTGAAGTGGTTGAGTGTGTTGACCACTTCACTTACCTGGGAAGTAGGATCAACCCGGTGGGTTAGTTGCCGATGAGATTTCTGCACGGATACAAAAGGCTCGATTGGCTTTTGCCAATTTGCGCCACCTATGGCGCCGCCGTGATATTCGTTTGTCTATTAAGGGTCGCGTGTACTGCACAGCAGTCCGCTCTGTTCTACTGTATGGCTGTGAAACATGGCCATTGAAAGTGGAAGACACAAAAAGGTTACAGGTATTTGACCACCGTTGCCTTCGTAGTATAGGACGTATTCCGTGGTGTCACCATGTGAGTAATGCAGAAGTTAGGTGTAGAGTTTTAGGGAGAAGAGGTAAGTCAGTCGACGAGGTTGTGAACCTTCATCGACTGAGATGGTTGGGACACGTACTACGTATGCCTCGTCACACAATGTTGGCTGAGGTGGGTTCAGGCTGGAAAAAGGCCCGAGGTGGCCAGACTAAAACATGGCACCAATGTATGAAGTCTCTGACTGTTGGTTTAAGCCATGTAGGACGATGCAGACTAGGTGGTTGGGGTCCACGGGACAAGAGGAACCAGTGGTTGGAGACCCTAGGTGATATGGCTCAGAACCGAAGTCAGTGGCGCAGATGTATACACACATTATCCTCATCTTAACAACGCTATACCGAATCTCACTATTTTGTCACTCCTCTTTCCTTTCTTCTCGTACTTTATATTTCTTTTGACTGCATTCACTTATCTTCATCCTTCACCTCACTACCTTTTTACTTGATGTGCTGATATGAGGTGTGGCAACTCGGACCGTTACGCAGTAATGCCTGGTCCTATGTTGATAATGATGATGATGATGACTCTATGCCGAATCCGACACCAAACATTGCTCGCTAAAACCTAGCAATCTGAAGTTCTGGATGTATTCTTGGTCTCCGAGACATGTATACAGGGTTTCAGTGTGGTTATTCACTTCACCTCACCTTACCATTGTAGTGAATCTTCAAAATTCATCGTGAGTATCCGGAGACCCATCGGTTAGCTCTTGTGGACTCGCTGTTGTAGGAAAGATCGTGAGACCTGTCGTATGATCTGTCTGTGTCCATCGTTGACTTGGAATTGACGGATGCTATATGAGGCAGGGTCTCTCCTTGCGCCTAAAATTAGTGCTGACTAGAAACAAGTGATTGTCGGGACAAAATTGCAACAGACGACCGCTGTTGTCGGTTCGTTGGCATACGATTTCGTAAATACCCTAAAAATGCATTTCCGATTAACTCAGCTTCCCTACTTGAGGGTTAAAGTTACCTACTATTATGACTACGTCTGAACGTTTTGCTTTCTGTTTCAAAGTTGATGGTTTTTCATAGGATTCATTTTTTCGCATCATCCGAACTGCAGTCAGTCAGTTGGCACGTAGGTGCAGATTACGAATAAGCACTGGCTGGTCTCACAGTCTTTCCTAGTCCTCAAAGATCTATTCAGTCGAATGGCACATATACGGCTGTTTACTGGTATCCAGTCGAGAAGTGCACTGTCTGCTCTGCAACTCAATGCCATGCCTACAACAGCTAGTCCACGAGAGCTAACCGATCTGTCTCCGGATACTCACACGAGGAATTTTGAAGATTCACTACTATGGTCAGGTGAGGTCAAGTGAACAACCACACTCGAACCCTGTACACATGTTTCAGAGACTAAGCTGCTGCTTATCAGCAATGTCGATCGCATCTGTAAAAAGCTTTTCGTTAGTGTTGAATGCAATCGTCTTCTGTGACCGTCACGAGTATTTGACTTCCCGTTTTTCCTATGTAAATGTTTATGCTTCCTTGAATAAGAAGATTGACCGATTAGTAAGGTTTAGCTCGTAACATAAGAACAGAAGATTTTAAGCATTCAAGTGTTAGACGTGATTTATCACTTTTCTTTGAGGGTTTATAGTGAAATTTTCAATGATACATTCCGTTTTCACTCACTATCATGCTAATATATTTTGTGATTGAGTTTAACTTTTGCCTACTAATCTAAAAATTTCTAATTTTGAAATTTCATTTATACTTCAACTTTTGTAAAAGGTTTATTATAAGCCACTATTTAATTTCCTTGAAACTAGTCCGACGAAAAAAATTCTTATTGTAAAAGTCACAATTGTGGTTGCAAAAGTGTACTAAAACCACACGTCAGACCTTTAGTGCAACCGATGAAAACTCGTAGAAATCAATATTCATCTCTGTCTCGTTCAAACAGTACTCATGAAGAAATTCAAGAAAGAGGTAACCACCCCTTTTATAGATTATTGAAGGAATTCCCGAAACTTGGTTTGGATGAACATGAAGAGCGGGTTTTACAGAAAAAAGCATGTAAGTTTGTATTTTTGTTGCATTTTACAGAAACTCGATCTTTATTGTCAAGTAACTTTTTGAGTGAAAAAAGTATTTTGCAGGGATTAATGCGGTAACGTTTTCGTCTTTCCTAAATCCAGCGGGCTGATCACTTCAAAAAGCTCTTGAACCGACCACCACCTGCACTTCGTTCACAAATACCACCTGCAGCCACAGAACTACAAATGAACATAAATCCTCCAACGAAATTCGAAGTCCTGAATGCCATAAAGCTACTGAAATGAGGGAAAGCAGCAGGACCAGATGGAATCCCACGAGAAGCACTGAGAGCAGACGCAGAGACAACAGCGGACATGCTCACACCACTATTGCAGAAGGTCTAGAAGGAAGGGAAGGTTCCTGCAGATTGGAAGAAGGGTGACCTAAGCCTTTGCAAGAACTGGTGTGGAATCACGCCTCTGTCCATCCCAAGCAGCATATTAAACCGCATCATCCTTGAGAGACTGAAGGATGCTCTGGACTCAAAACTACGACCCGAACAGGCTGGATTCAGGAAGTATAAATCATGTGCGGACCAAATTGCAACGCTACACTACGCATCACCATAGAACAGAGCATAGAATGGCAGTCAACCCTCTACCTCAACTTCATCGACTTTGAAAAGGCCTTTGACAGCGTCGATCGACAAGTAATTTGTCAGTTGCTTCATCGGTGTCCATTTTTCTGCTGCTGCTGCCTCACTACATGTCAATTGCATCTCATCCAATCCATTAGTGCCTTAGTAACGTATCGCACTACTAGACAACTTGATCATCAACCGAAAGTTATCGATTCACAACAGAAAGGAAACGGAGGTGTGCTAAAAAACGCTTAAAAAATTGTTATCTTTTACAGTGTCGCTGTGAAACAATCGTGAGGGAGTAATAAAAAATACAGTAGTGTGGAAATACTGCTCATATAGTAATGATAGATAATGAACAGCAGTGGAATCCAACATATGCGTTTCGTCCAATTTGGGACTCGTCAACTGGATGTACCTGTACCCCTGTGAGTGATATTGTTTCCACTAAGAATCGAGTTCAAGACCGATCACTTCCAACATCAGCGTTATCCGCTAGGCCACTGAGTCCCGATAGTCACTCCTTGAGTAACGGGCATAGTTTTTATGTTATTCCTTGTAATTTCACGTCGTTGATTAGACCAAATTGTTAGTTCCCTATTGTCACTTAGGTTCTTGCACAAATACCCCGATATTGCCTGTAGTAGTAGTGATGGACAGTGGCTAGCAATGGAATCCGCATAGAAGCCCATATGCCAATGGAGATCTATCAATTCGGTCCAATCAACGACGGGAAATTACAAACAATGAAAAAAAATATTGCTCTTAATTATAAATTACGGTATACAGAATACGTCTATATTGCTATGAAATAAGTGGTTTATTCTGTATCGAAATTGCTTAGTGCAAAAAATTCTATATATCTCACAAGTATGGTTATATTATAGACGTAATTTTACCTGTTTAAACTGCTTTCTAGCCAATTCCATAGCACGTAATTCATCGTATGCTAAACCGATTTCTGCCTGTAAATTGTAGCTTCTGCTAAATCCACTTTCTGAGAGCTTCAGCAGAATTTCCAAAGCTCTTTCACCTTCATGCAATCTCAAAAATACCTGTTAAAGATAAACATGGGGAGAAAAAAATGTTGAAATATTGTGCACCAGTTATCCAGTAAGAAACATGGTATTAAAAAATTCCCTTGAATTCTATGCTTCCAAATCCGAACAACCAACCAACCAGTAAAGTTAAGTTGTGTCTATAGGTATCCGTAGATGCGACTGAATTCATTTAACATAACTAAATGTTCAAGAACAGTTAGCAGCAACACTTGATATTGAATCGACAAAACCACTACTCTCCCTATAAGAAGATAATAAAGTTGATAAAAGAAGATAAAAGCAGATTCTTCCTTGCGTTCATTTCAATGATTATCAGTGTATATCCGAAAATGTGTGCTTCTACTATTCCTTAAGTACGTGATGTAGTGGCATAACCTAAAAAAAATTTAAATACGGTAGTTTTTTGGCAACTTTCGCGGAGGACTATCCATATTTTTCATTTCCATGGCTTCCCAACTTGGCATCGCGTTTAACTTCCGACTGGTAAATCGCTAGCAAGCACTTTCTGAGGAGATCTTAATATATGAATGTATATCCTTGTCTTTACACGAGGACGATGAGTCCTATCACTTTTAAACATACAAATCAAACACAAATCCTTCCTTTCCACAGTTTATTTTTTGTGCTACTAGAAAGCAACTGTTGAAGTTGATATATCATATAGAACACCAATTTACCATCAATCTGCCGATTTTTCCCATCAGGTACGCTTGACAGATACCGTAGTGCTAGCTGGAGAATTGAATGCACAAGACAAGCCTTAGGGCTCAGAGGAGGGTTGTTTGGTTGACCAATGGGGATTAGTCGGTTAGATGGAATAATGGGGACTGTCTCCTGCAGTTGCGTGACGATCACAACCAATTTTTAGCCAGGGTCAACCTGTGGCAAAACCATTGCCACCGTGCTAACTGGCGCTTTTCCTGTGCCATTCAAACCTGAACCCAAATACATCATATTGCAATTAGCTACCGATGTCGGAGCTGTGCTAAGGTCTGTTATCCTTTCTGGAACTATTGCCTAGACTCTGATTACAGTTGAGTATGTGTGCATCGGTGGTCATCAAAATCACCGTCCTACGGATGTGGACGTAGGGAGATTGGTTGCTTCCACTATCACAACTAAATACTGAGCGGAACTAGATGCAAAGCTAGTTGTTGAGTGTTCGAAAGGTATAGATGAGTATTGGCTAGACCTACAAGACATCAGGAAGATGGTGAGTGAAGCTGGTCGCAACTTCATAGGACGTTTTGCAAATGAACTCTAGGTTTTTGTGAGCTCGTCACGACATCTTTACGTTCATCAGTGTAGTGCAGCAGACTGTGAGTGCAGTTGCATGCGTAAACCCCACAGGATTATTAGCATCCGATGAAAGAACTATGTAAGTAATTCTAAGGCAAGGCAACGGATGTACACGTGTGCTGCAGATCGTAAATTTTGGAATGAGTTCACATTGAAATACTGGCACTGATGGCTCTCACTTGTGACGCCTGTCGTCCCAGCAACTCACATACTGCTCACTTGCGTGTCTGTTTAGTAGAAGCGCAGAGTTGGTCCGTGTATGACATTGCATATGAGTTTGGTTAGCACTTGTAGAGGTACCTTGTGACCCTGAATGGGATCCGAGCGTTCACGCAACTCAGTGGCTCACTACCGAAACTAATAACAATCATGCTACAGCCATCTTGTTTTTTCTATTGTCGAGAACTAAGACATAATAGTGACTGTTCATTTGATAACCCATGTCTGATTTTGCTTGTGTTACTTTTTTTCTTTCCATCTGTGTCACCGAAGTGTCTTCTTATTTTGCTTTGTTATTATTGTCTATGGTGCATTTCCTGGTACCCATACCCTACCTAGTTTGTGTTTGAGACAAAAACAGGTAAACTAATCTGTTGAGATAGTCATGTTAGGTCTTTGAGATGTAATCTTGATTTCGGTTATTTTGTTTCTATATTTCTTTCTATTTGCTGGGATTACTGAAAGAGAACTGTGGATTGACAGTAGTAGGTGTTTATTAAGTCTACATTAGTTGCTGTTCAGGCTCATTACAGGTGTTGCCAAACGCTTCAATTGACCATTATACAATGGTGCTGTATTTATATTTTATTCACTCGTTTTTAATTATATGGATAATAGCGTTCTCATGTATAGCTGCCCACTGTTGATAGATTTACAATGATATCATAAATCTTAACATGTTAGAATTTTCATAGCACTGAACGACGTTCGCCTGGAATTTTTTTAGCAGCAAACTGACATTTGACAGGAGAGTTTTAATTACATATGCTATGATTCACCCACGTTACACTGCTCAAGATATTGGAAGTTTACGTGTTGGTCATCAGTGGGTAACCGATGTAGCTGCTTAGTTTTAACTGTTCAGCACTGGTTCAAGTCTACCGATCAAGCTTGCAATGCCACAGAGGTGTACGGAAGTTTGGCGTTAAATACTCGTTGCAGATGAGCAACAAAAAGTATGAAATCCAAGCCATGGAAGACTTCCTGCTGATTGACTCAACCTGATTACCTGGCTGGGGTTCCCGAGACAATAGGGATCAGTGGTTGATGACTCTTGGTGACATGATTAGAAGTTGGTAACCATGGCGCAGATGTATTTACTCCTCAACGTTTTATAAAGCTCAATGTTTTCGTTAACCTTTACCGTCATATTGTGCCTCCTCCTACAAACCTTTGTCTACTTTGATATCAGTGTTTTTCTGTTCACTTGCTCACTGCATACTACTGTGAAGTATGGTAACTTGAATAGATGTACTTCTGTGCGAGTTTCTGCGTTGATTTTATCTGTTTAGAATCAATGTTAAAATCTGTGTTGTTTCTCTTAGCAATCTGTTTAGCTAACTCCAATTTAAAAAGACCACGACTCGCCATGTATTATGCACGGTAACTTCAGGTCAAAATTATATATCTACGTATATAATCCTAATAATTTGGGTCTTTACCTACTAAAAATATCATCGACGCAGATTAATTTTTATACGAGAAGGCGAAAATAGGCGTGGATTTAACATAACATTATTAAAAGTAACAAGTTACATAAAGGGATGGATAAAATGCCCAATATTTTCTAACCTTAGCCTCAAAAAAATATCTCATCCAGCATTCATCACCAGACGGGAGATTTAGGCCATTCATCTTTTCTTTATTATCGATGAGATCAACTAACTCAAACCAAGCAGGCCATAAATAAGGATTGAAATTGATTGCTTGAACCAGTAGTGTCACAGCTGTTTCTTTCATTCCCAATCGTAGACAAACTAAAGCGTGAACATATAGGAGAAAAGAATTGCCAGTCGTATCAGTTTTCCTTTCATTCTTATAGTTGACTTCATTTGTATATGGTTCTATTTCACATTTCAATGATAAAAGCTCCTTATTGCATCTGGCGACAGACATAAATGATGATTTAGCCTCATCATCTTGTTTTAACACAAATCGTGACTCAACTCCATCATTAGCTCGACGCTTTTCACATGCCATATAGCGTGCATATATATACAAGAAATAATACACGTGACCATATTTTTCAATAAAACACTTTGGATTATCATGGATAGATTTCTCAAAATTATGCGACAGTATTTCGGCGCAATGATCATACTCTTGAGTATCAAAGGAACTACGAGCAAGCAGAAATGTGGTCAATTTGTCAGGTGGAATATTCCGATAAACATTACTTGAGGCAAAAACACTATCTGGAGCCGATATGATGGGAAGATTGATAGACCAGAGTAAATCTGTAAGCCATTTACAACTATGACGAAGTCCTCGGATTTGGCATTCAAAAAAGGCTTGTAATATGTCTGCTTGAACATTACACAAAGAAATAGGAAACCCAACTATTTCGTTGTTTCGATCCATTTTTGCTACGGTGAGAGGTGTTTCTATATAAAACAAAACCATAGAAACAACTTTGTAGGCTAAAGCGCAGCGAAGTGACATAACAGGTAGAAAAACACTCAGCAAAAATGCTTACTTTATGCTTTATGAAGAGATAGGCATGTAAGCAAAATCACGAACAACATGTGCAGTTATTTTAGGCTACATAAACAATCCGTTTTGTACCTAGAGAGAAAGAATCAAAAAGAATCGTACATGAAAGCCCTACAGTTCCAGCTGTCACACTCCTTACTCCAGAACAAACGACGGTGGAAGCAGAAAAGTAACCAAAGCAGACAACACAAATGAGCAGAGGAGAGGACAGAAACTAAGCACAGAGTCCAGTGAAGAATAATGCAGGGTTGACACCCCCAATATTGGGCAGAACGTTGCGTATCTCCCCATTCAGTGGGAAGATGGTAGACTATTAGACCATCCAAATCTTGCTTCAGTTATCTTTTTGCATATTCAAAATTCAAATGAATGGGCTCACCGAAGGGTCTTCCACCACTTATCCCAGAATCCAGTTCCATCAGTTGACCACTATGATCATAGAGCGAATTAAAGAATTCCTTACGGAACCGGTACTCCACTCAATGATTTGACATCGAAAATTGTCTGCTAAATATGAGATGATAATCATCCTCGAGTACTATTCATCTTAAAAACTTTCAACTCACTAATGATACATCTTCATTTTAAAACTCATTTCATCAAAAGATATTCATTGATGCCAACGACTACTTATGGAATGCACAGGTCAGTTTGAAACATGCTCAGCCAATAAACTCTTCGTTAACACCTCGGAGACTTTAGGAAAATCGCACAAAGTACCATCAGTGGGCTTATAAAACTTCGGAAACTTAGGGCGAGCTTTCGAGTGTTTGCAGATTTTGGTGGTCAGTAACTCATTGCGCTTTGGAAGTTCGCAGGTAGCCCTTGGGATGTACTAGATCACATTTGCGCAACCTTAGTTCTGCTCCACATTACCCTGAGTTGTTCAAAGGCCAGGTATGCACACCAATAAATAACAAGCAATCAAATAAAACTTGAACCCAAAAACCTGCCGATCCTCTGTTACTTATAGCAGAAATATTGTGAACCATCTTACTAATGACTTTTATGGTACCACTTCAGCTGCCAACAGAGGAGAATACAACTACCTAATGAATCTTAACGGACTGAAGGTCGAGGCCTTGAAACATTTAAAATCCCGCTTTCTTCAGTAGTGTCCAGTAGACCAACTATGCTGTTAATCCTTGAAATAGATACCTCTGTGTAGATGTAGTTCCTCTTGAAAGCGTCACTGAAGGAACCTAGGTCTGTCACTGAGATAAAGGTCTGAGGTTGCTATCTAGTTGGTGGGAGAGCTTCGAACTTCGTGTTGAAAAGTGTCCTGAGTCTAACTCAATAGAATACTTTCTTTGTTTGGTATGATCATAGTTACTTTCCATCTTCTGGGAATCCTGTGAGGGTAGAAGCAATGAATAATTAACTAACATATTCTCCTTAGGTAGTGCTGCTACCCGTGGACTGTTAGACGACGGGTGGCTTCTAGGGCGCAGCTTATCCATAAGTATCTATTCTCCTCTGAAAACGTCACAGAAAGGCAGTGAAATAACCACCGCAGGAAGAGAGCTTCACAATAAGAACACTTTAACTCCAAAAGAGTTAAGGTGCTAGCTCACGCATGGCAACTAAGATGGGGTTTCTGATTACACCTGGAAGGCGATTAATTAGGGTGAAGAAAATTTTGCGGGATTTGATATGTAACTGTGCCAGATTAAGCTTAGGAGCAACCAGGCAACCCTGGTAGGTTGTGAGCCATCCCCCAACCGATTTTTCCTTGGCGTGACTTTGACCTCAAAGTAGGATATAAGTATCTTTCTTCAAGTGTGTAAGTTAAGCTAGCGAACTGTTCTCAAGACGATGATGAATATCTATCCTACAGAATGCAGTAAAAAGGGCCAAAATTAGGCCTACTAGTCTACCAGAAAGAACCGTAAAGACGTTTTATGAATTATCACTGTGGGAACTTAGCAAACGCAGGAGCCAATCACTAACTAGTCGTACTTATATACATAGGTCCCAGACCAAGGAAAAAAAACGGTTGGAATAGCATATTTGATCAACCGTACCAAAAAACCAATCCCTTACAACTGGCTGGCTAGAGAATCGACTAAGGGCAGTGCAACGTGACACGACAAAGTGCCCAGTGGTATGGATGTCTCAGCATGTCCCATCAGATTGCTTGTACGTTGAAACCATAAGGGTTAATGCAAATTGTGAATTCCGTTGAACTCTAGACCACTGATATTTGGGAATTGTTTGCCATTATCCTTCTAGTGGGTTCTAGGGGAAGCCTTAGACGATTGCAGCCAGAAGTTAAAATCCAATGGTGTCACCACTTGTAAAGCTCTCTCGGTGGGGATGTCGTTGGGAGTCCCCCTTGATTGTCTGAACTTAATCAGCGTATCATTCAAAAAAGAGAACTCTGAGTCGAATGGCATGTCAACTATTATCCTCAGTGTACTTTGACACTCATTTCAGTGCTGGTTGCACCTGGGATAGATGCAGAGGCCGTTGCTACCACGAAAAAGTTTCACGAAAATGAGAAACACCAACATGCTACACGCGAAAGAAAATTTAAAAAGATTTGATGCTTAGCTCCCACACTTTTCGGAGAGATGTATGACCTGGTGGCATTATGAATCGATACCAAAAAGGCGTAGAGTGGGAAATTTTTCTCAATCCTAGCAAAAAATGGTTCATCGAAAAAATTGAAAGTCAAAAATAATCGGCACATTTCGCCTGCACTACTCGGCTGTCTTTAAATAACCCGTAGACCTGATGGTTCAACCTGCTTGTATTGCTTGTTGTACAGATGTTTGTTGTGTTTTTGCATTACCAGGCAAATCGTCAGCAGTTTGGATGAATTGGTTATCGGCTGGTCGGATATGGTGAGCAGGAACGCCGTTACCTTCGGATTAAGCTGCTTTCAAACGGTCAATATTGTTAGCTATTTGAGGTTGAGCAGCCGTAGACCTGACTTAACGCAGCACTTTTGTAAGCCCAGTCGCGTAAGATGTTATATCAAAAACATTTGTGAAAGTTGAAGGAGAGACGAACTCACCTTTTAGGCGAATAGTGATCCTGCGGACTAGTTCTGCAGAAGTACATCCAGTATCAGCTTTCAGCGCTTTCCGAATGCTCAGTAGGACTAGAGACAGAGCCTTGATCCACAGAGGTGGCCTTTTCGGCTGAAAGCCAAGCTTCCAGTTGTTGACAAAAACGTTCTATTACGTCATTTACTTGTGGATGGTAGAGTGCTATTCGGAACCGAGCGTAACCTAAAAAGGCGGTTAGAGCGTGAAGTTATCCACGCTGGAATTGGCGCTCAGATTCAGTTGTTACAGAAGATGGACATCCGAAATTTTCGATCCATCTTTGGACAAAAAAAGAGCGACGGTTGCGGTAGTACCATCTCCAATGGCCACTGCTTCCGGCCGTTTTGCAAAACGGTCCACACAGACGAGAAGGCAAGTGCATTCATAAGATTCTAGTAGAGATCCTACAATATCTATATGGACTTGGTCGAAACTCATGTCCGAAGCTAGAAAATAACCTAAAGGGCTCTTCATATGCCGTGTAACATTACACTTTTGACAAACTACTCACGATTGAGCCAACTTTTTAACTTCTTAGTTCACTGCCGGCCAGCAGAAGAGTTGTGCAATAAGCCTGATGATGGCTCGTACACCTGGATGGGACAGTTAGTACAACATATTGAAGACGTGTCGACATGTCCTCACAACTACTGGGCGTGGTAGACTCGCAGGTATATCGCATAAAATTGCACCTTTACTGGTCTTACGGAACGCAGTTGTAGCTTGAGAATTGTGTACGACAACTAACGGTTCAGCTCAACATCCTTCTGAAAGCTGGCCAATTCAACAAGTTCGGTGCCCTCGATAGGGTCTATTAAAGCTATCCGAGATAGTGAGCTGGATACGGGATTATTTTCTCCATATGTATGGCAGATATCTGACGTGAACTAGGAAACGTAATCCAGTTGTCGTGACTCACTCGCGGACCATTTATCAGGTGCTGAGCCAAGAGAGAAAGTGCTTTGTGGCCTGTGAAAATGATGGTGTCACGACCTCCAGGCGAGTATCAAAAATGGCGTGAAGAACAGCACATGGCTAGGAGTCTCGTTCCAAATGTACTGTACCCTGTTTCCACCTCCTGTATCCCCCTCAAAAGAAAGAGTAAAGCTGCCACTGGTTGTCAGTCAACCATCGCAAAACTTCCCTGATTGCTGGGTCAGGTGCATCAACGAAAATGCTCGCAGGATTGCCGTTGGGATAAAAGGGTATGGTTACATTCAAGTTGGCGTCTTTGAACTTAGGTAAAGCATGTCTAGCCACGTTGTCCAGGGTCAGGCACTCGGCAGTCCCTCGAAGTAGATCTGTGAGTGGTCTCAGAGGCACATCTGGGAATAAAACTTTGGTGATAACTTACCAACCCACTGAAAGAGCGTAGCTGCCCTGCAGTAGTGGGCTGTGGATTGCTCGTGATAGCTGCGACTTTGTCTGTCAATGAGCACATACCTCTGTTGTCCAGGGGAGCTGAGCGGTTCGACTACAACTTTACATTCCCGTACTTTGACTGTGATTCGATAATTTCGCAATTTGCTGACTGTGAGGTCCAAATGATCAGGGTGAGTTTCTTTATCTGGACTCGCAATGGGTCAGTCACCGATGTAGACATGGACAAAGTCTAAATCGCGGAAGACATCATCCTCAAAGCGTTGGAAAGTTTGTGCTGCATTCCGAAGACCAAATGGCATGCGCAGGAATTCAAACAGGCCAAAAGGAGTAATAAAGGCTGTTTTCACGATATCTTCTGCTGCCACAGGCATCTGCTTTGACCAGACCGATTTCGGAGAGTATGCTCATTCCGAATAACGTCACAGTCAAGTCGTAAACATGAGGTATCGGGTGGCAGTCAGGTGTTGTTTTGGCGTTAAGCCTTCGGTAACAACCAGTTGGACTCCAGTCGTCGCTATCCTTTTTGGGAACCATGTGCAATGATGATTCTCAAGGACCACTTGAAGGTTTGATAATGCCCAGTTACAGCATGTGGTCGAATTCACTTTTCGCCGTTTTGAGCTTATAAGGGGCTAGGTGGCCTGCTTTGGACGCCATAGGTGAACCTGTGCTTGTGACCTGATGCATAACACTGCTGGTTATGCACCGCAGAGTGTGCGTCGGCTACTGTAGCTGGACATTTTTCTAAAACTGTCTGTTGGGGCGCGTCGACTGAGTTTCTATTTCTAACCATGGCTAAGCTGGGACCTACGTAGGCGGGGCTGCCAATACATAACTTCGTGTTGTTGTCTATCAGTCATCATCGACGGGCATCTACGAGCACATCGCAATGGTCCGGCAAATCTATGCCAGTGGTAGGCATAGAAACATCAGCTGGAAGGAAGTGAAGAAGTTTACGTAACCCTAAGTTGGGGTGGTCATACCTTTTCCCACAGGTTGCGACCGCTTTGCCGCCTGTTGCTTGTAGACTAAAAAATGGGTCACGATGATGTTCTCTCGTCTTTGGATGAGGAACATTGACTTCTGCATCTGCGTCGGCTAGGCAGTGAGCCTTCATCCACACGCCGATGACGTACTACGAACTACCGTTTCCGCTGGCTACGGTTTCCGTCAACGCATGCCGGCAGAGTTTATTCTTTTGTCGAAAGTTTCTTGGTTTTCGACGAGTTCTTGCTTTATTGTCACAGGTATTGTGAAACCAGTACCATATAGGGTTTTTCCAACTCGTAGGGTTCAGTTTTTAAACAACCATGTGGGTTTCTATGAAGGGCTGCGAAGCGTTTTTCGTTGTGCTTCGTCACCTAGGAGTTCGGGTTTGCGCACCGAACATACGTTGGAGGCGGGTCTGCCAGAGGTTTCCAACATTTTACCAGCTGAGACTAACAAGTCGTAGATCACAGTCGACTGATGTGCCACCAGCACGGTTTGCACTGCTTGTGGTAGCTTCGGGAGAAACAGTTGTTGGGAAAGACCATTATCGAACATCCGTTGGCCAGTAACTTCTCGTATCCGTGTGAGCACATCGGTAGCTGAGTTGTTCTCTAGCATGCTGTTACAAAGCGAGTCATTCAAGCGCTGGCAATCCGTTGGGCCAGTTTTCTTTGTA